GCTTTGGAGTCGTGCAGAAGTCTCCTCTGGCAAGATTGAAGAGGTCAAAAATGCCGTGTCGTCGGCATATGTAGCCACTAGAAAGCCCTCCTCTTCAGCGACAGGCATGTCGGCTGTGTACATGGTGTACAGGATGGGACCAAGTACACTGCCCTGCGGAACTCCAGCTTCAATGGGCCTGTACTCCGATGTCGCATTTCCGCTTCTGACCCTGAACTTCCTGTCGGTCAAGTACGAGTTAAGGAAATCGTAATACTGTTGTGGCAGGTTCCTCTTGAGCTTCGCTTTTAGACCAGGGTGCCAGACCCTGTCAAACGCCTGCTTGACATCCAGGAAAACAGCACAGCAATAATGTTTTCTCTCGAGGCTGTCCAGGATTTTTGCCACGATCCTGTGGCATTGCTCGGGGGTGGAGTGGGAGCGCCTGAAACCAAACTGGTGATCTGGGATCAAACCAGCCTCGTCCAGTACTGTCTGCAATCTGCGCAAAAATACTCTCTCGAGTATTTTGGAGATTACAGACAGTAAACTAATCGGCCTATATGAGACGAGATTAGTTTCAGGCTTTCCAGGCTTAGGGATCAGGATGACCTCCGCCTGTTTCCAGCAAATGGGGAAGTGTCCACTCTCTAGGCACGCATTATAGATCCTTGTGAGCCTCCTTATTCCTGAAGGTGGGAGAAGCTTGGCCGCGAGTGCCTCTATCCCATCTGCACCCGGAGATTTTTTGGCGTTGAGGCCTGACACCTCCTCCTTGACCTCTTCCTCCGATACGGGCTCCATCTGGCTAAGGTCCGTGGGTGGGTGGGGTATGAACTCCGTTTCTGCTCTGTCCTCTTCCGTGCAAATGTTGAATGGCTTGAAGGTTGCTTCGAGGTGAGCAGCAAAAGCATCGGCCCTTTCCTGGTCCGAACGACCCCATCCACCGTCGGATTTTCGTATTTGGGCGACCCTTTGCTTGGGACGCTTTAAATGGCGGGTTAAGTTCCACAAGTTGTGTTGGGGGTCCCCAGGCTCGACCTGGCGCAGGTACTCTTCGAATGCGCAAGTCCGCAACCTCTGCAGCAGCTTCTTGAGTTTTTTGGTTGCACGATTGAAAGCTGTTTTATCGCTGGGGTACCTGGTTTGGAAACAAATCCTTCTCCGTCGTCTCTTCTCATTGAGGAGTGCAGCCACTTCAGGAGACCACAGGTGTAAGTGCCTTTGCAACTTCTTATTGTTGCATGGAGCCCTAGGAGTTGCAATTAAGGCAGCGTTGTGCATCTCTTGAGTGAGATTCTTCATCTCTTCAATCAGTCTTCATCTAGCTTTCTTTGAGTTCGGACGTCTACTTTTTCGCTCATGTCGTCTCTCGTTTGCACCGAGTGCAGTGCAGAAGTTACTGCTACCCAACTTCGTGGGTGTAAGGCCGTTCGGTGCGCGTCGATCTGCCGGCGTGCCTATCACACCGCTTGTGTTGATTTGCCCTCGGAGAATATAAAAATACTTATTAACATTCCGAACTTAATGTGGCAATGTGATAGCTGCGTCATTGGAAATGATTCGCATTCCAAAATTGATGAGCTAAATCATAAAGTTCTAGATCTGGAGTCCCGCTTCGAAAGCCTTAATGCCAAAGTTGACCTAGCCCTGGTAAATGGAGCGGCTGTGCACGCTGGACGCGCCTCCTCGGCTGGGGTGCAAGTTGTTGCTCCCCCTGCTATGCCCACCAGCACTGGGAGCATAAAGGCTACTCTGGGGCAGGCCCCAACGGCATCTAAGGGGGCTGTCCTGAAGAAGAAGCGGATCAACCCTAATAGGCGCATTGTGGGATAAGCTCCCAGTTGCGCTCAACTTCAAGCTTCCCACCTTGAAATACCTTCATGTGGGTAAATTCGCGACGTCTACCCAACCGGATGCACTGTGCAAATTTGTCGCAGATAAGCTGAACGTGGAGCCCAATGATGTGCTAGGCTGATCAAAAAGGATGCTGACATCAACGCCCTCAAGTTCGTCAATTTTAAATTGGGAGTTCCGGAGCAAAATTTCCCAACAGTCTTTAATGACGATTTTTGGCCTATGTCGGTAAAAGTCAGCCGGTTTGTTCATAGAGAGCCGGCTAAGGTTATTGACCTCCCGGCGATTCTACCTTTACCGCATTTGCAATCTTCAAAAAACCCCCAGTAAGCGGCGCCGCTGTCGCCGTTACATCTTATTCTTCTCAAGCTGCAGTTCGTCACCCCTGATTGCTCTCTCCTGCGCTACCAACAACAATCGGCGTGGGCGTTCATGGTAACGGTTGACGCTGTCTTCAATCCCTCCAATAATTGGCTTCGTTTGCTGATCGATATTCTTCAACAACAACAACTTTTTCAAGGCGAGTTGTTTATTTCTTATCTTCACTTGTGGATGCCCAGCAACAACAAGACGATGGTAATCGAGACGTTGGCAGCGCATCGCTTATCTTATCTCTTTTCGCTGGGCCACTCGCTGGTGCTTTCTTTTCGCCGATGGAAGATGTTTATTTACGTTTTGGACCCGTGGGTGGATCTTTGCTGCGTTTGGATGTGCCTGACTAGGAACGCTCAATGTTTTCACCTGGCACGGAATCTGCCTTGCTACTGGACTCTCGCAGGTCTACTGATGAGTCTAATGGAAATTTCTATGTGTCCTTGTCGGCTATTTTGCAAGCTATGCGTATTGGATATGCCTCCACATGCACCAGCACCAGGAGTGCACTTTCACCATCACCGCCTTGCCGTCCAATTCCCAGTTTGGACTGTAGCTACTCGTCGTCCTTGGACCCTAATAAAAGCCTAAAAGTTCTATTCCAAAATATATCGGAAATGAGAACCAAGACCCGGATGGTATTCCTCAATTCTTCTGCCTCCGATTTTGATGTAATCATCCTTGTGGAAACCTGGCTCAATGACAAATTCAGCTCCTCTGAGTTCTTCGAGCCTAATTTGTACCATGTATTTCGAAAGGGCCGAGATGCATTCAGTACCCAGTGTGAGCGAGGTGGAGGTGTGATCATCGCTATCCGTCGATCTCTTCAGGCTACACCACTGCGCCTTCCTGTGGCTGACCCTATACTGGATCAGCTCGCTGTTTCAATCCAGGGCTTCCATGGCCCGTTCGTCATCATTGCATCATACATCCCTCCGAACAGCGCATTTAGTATATATCATGCGCATATGGAAAACATCACTAGTGTCTGTGCTAGAACGTCGGACCCTACCGCTTTGATGGTAGCTGGCGATTTCAACCTGAGCTCCATTGTCTGGTCTTGGGACCCGGAATCTCCCTGCATGCTACCTAGCAACGTTCACCAGAGTCATGAAATTGTAGTTTTAGATGATATTTTTAGTCTGGGCCTCTCCCAAGTAAATAATATTTTTAATGATTTATCCAAAATTCTTGATCTTATATTTTTAAATAATTTGATTAATAGTAAAGTAGAATTATGCAATGTACCATTAAGTCATTGTGATATGCACCACAAGCCGTTGGTAATTAAATTTGAGTTTTATAGTTTTTTGCCTTCTGCTTCCCCCATTCCATATTATCATCTGAATGATACTAACTTGTCACTTATTAACGCCTCTATTTCAGCCTTTGATTGGGTTTCCCTTTTTTCGGATGGCTCAATCGATGATTGTTATACTAAGTTCTTGGTTGCCCTTTTTAATATTATTGATACTTATGCCCCTGTGAGGGTACGAAGATCCTATAGGCTTCCCTGGTATACAAAAGGTTTAAAAAACTTAAAGAATAGAAGGGATAAGCACTACAAACGATTTATATTGACAGGTGAGACTCGAGCAGGAGAGCTGTACCGGCCATTTAAGCGGGAATTTGATTTCCTTAATAAGTTCCTTTACAATCAGTATATATCCGATGTCGAAGCTAGCCTTCGATCCAATCCTAAAGCTTCTTGGCGGTTTGTTAACAGCAAAAAGTCAAAATCGGACATACCTTCATCCATATGTTATGGTAATTTAGCAGCCGACTCGGATCAGGGCGTTTCTGATCTTTTTGCAAAATACTTTGCCTCTAACTTAGAGCCGAAGGTTCCTTGGAGTGATCATGAAACTCTTCTTAGCATTGAGCCTTTTCTTAATGTGAGTAACATGGACGTTTTGGACGGTGACCTAGTTGAAGCCACTGGACATCTGACCGAGTCGCTCACACCTGACGTGGACGGTATCTCCCCATTCTTTCTTAAGAGGAGTATCGCTTCTCTTTCTACTCCCCTTCAACTGCTGTTCTCCTTTTCGCTCTCTTCTGGTAGATTCCCCCACCGGTGGAAGATTACTTCTATAACGCCTATTCACAAAGGTGGCAGTAGGTGTGATGTTACCAACTATCGACCTATAGCCAAAATTTGCAACGTCGCTAAGATACTGGAGCGGATAGTAACTAAAAAATTGACTTTTCTGGCTCGCAGTTGGTATTCCTACCAAAAACCGTTTAGTTATATGGAAGCTATAACATATAGTCGACCGATCGTTATGAAATTTGGTAGGTCGGATAAACTGACCAAAAATGTACTCTGTACTAAGTTCCAGCTTCCTATCTTCAAAAACACGAAAGTTGGGTCATTTCCGATCGATCAGTTATGTGGCAGCTATAGGATATAGTCGGCCTTATAAAATTTGGCGTGTAATGTTTTGCTAAAAATAGCTCTCGTGTCAAATTTGAACTCTCTTACTCAAAAAACACTAAAGTTATACCATTTCCGATCAATCGGTTATATGGCAGCTATAGGATATAGTCGGCCGGTCGTTCCGACTTATATACTGCGTGCAAAGGAAAGAAGGTGTGTAAAAAGTTTCAAGTCGATAGCTTTAAAACTAAGAGACTAGTTCGCGTAGAAACAGAGAGACAGAATACAGGAAATAAAATAGACAGGAAAAAATGGAAATACAAATTAAGTTGTAATTAGGTTAAGTTAAGTCATAGTAGTATACAAATTTGCAATAAAAAATATATAAATATTTATACAAAAAAAATTTCAGTGCTTTCCACAAGAATGAAACAACTGGCCATTTTATTAAACGACTTCAACTTTGAGTGTATAGGTAACGCGCAGACTGATGATGAGAACGTCATTTGCGAAAGCTTAAAACGATTTTGTGGAATTATTGGAACCATTGAAGATGAAAGGGAAAAAATGGTGAGTCAAATGAACATTGTAACATAGATTTTATATTTTATTGTTTCTATATAGCTAACTCTGGCTGACAAACATATTATTGAATCACTGGAAGAGTTTCGAAAAAAGCAAATTGGAGGCGTTAAGGAAAACAAAAAGAAATTTGACAAAAAAACCGAAAAATTTTGTCAGTCCCAAGAGCGTTTTTTAAATATGTCCACAAAAAAACCCGAAAATACTCTACAAGAGGTATGTTTTCAAGAGAATAATATTTATTTATTGGGGGACTTACATAACTTGCAAAGTATGTTTATTGAGTCCAGATGTTCAGAACTCAACAGGGAAAAATTTCCGACATTATATATATTCTTAATCAAGACCACAATAAATAAAATAGTTTTGAATGTTCGTCTTTCGGTTTGTCGTTCTGTCTGTTGTATGTATTTTAGTCGCACAGTTGAATTAGTTAATCGCACTTGCAAAACTCACTATAATGTAAGGCCAAATTAGGCAAAAAGTATAAACTTTCGTGCGTAGGCGCCATAAAATTTTATAGGCGATTGGTTCAAATTGTAACATATAAAATGTATTTCCATCACATGAAAACAATGTATGAAAATTATTTTTTTCTTTGGTAAAAATTTTCTTTGGTTTTTATTTTAGTTTTTAATGTATTACATCTTCTTCATAAATGACCCTAATAATAGGATATCAAATATTAGAAATAATTGTTAATAATGTTTACATGATTGGCTTGCCCTAGAGCTAAATTCTAGGTTGGGCGGTCGTTTCGTCGAAGACAGGAGTGACTGGATAGTCTTGTAAAGCCTCTGGCGAGATAGTTGGGATGTGAAGAGAGCTTGATGTACTTCATTGTAACTTCATTGAGTTATTTTTCATTGTACTTCATGAGCTGGTAAAATATCTAAGACTCTTATATTTTTGTATCGAACGTTTTACGGTTCCTCTGGGCTTGTTCTGAGAATACTTTACTGGGCTCTTTGGACTATGTAAATTTTTCTGTTGCTGGCATTCACCGATTGAGAATGCGAGATGGCCTATTCACCTTAGATCACCGTTCTATCCTTCCCCATAAATGACAGCGATTATGTATTCCTCGAAAGTTAAGTTCAGTATAGCCTACTTATTGGAACTCTATCACTAAGGCGCCTTAGTCTTTACTTATATCTGTTCCTTGAATTTCCCGGGGCCTGGGCACAGGTTCCTTAGATTACCGATGATCCTTACCGAGTGCTACGACGGATCTCTGAAGTCGATTCCAAAATAGTTCCTCAGGAGCGAGCGAGGGTTTTTACAGATAGTCACTTTGGTTAGACACAGATTGCTTGGGCTTACTTTGCTGCTTGTTGTTCGATCTAAGTAATCTTGTTCAGCTCTGGGATGCTCCTTATAGAGCTTTTCCTGGATCTTGGAATTTGGGAGTTTCCTTTCTTTTTGTGTTTTTTTTTTTAGATTTTAGGATCAAGGGCATTACTGGTATTTTTTTATGTTTAATTAATTTTCGGAATTTTTTGATACTTAATCGTATGCTTTAATTTCTTTTTTTTTTATTCATTTGTAGCAAGCATTGTTACAATGTTGCTCGTTAGATAACTAATAGGAAACAGTTTCTGTTGGTGTGCTTACATTTTAGCGGGACGTTGATACTAGCGTATCACTGGATACTGGCGTCGGGCGTTATCTTCTTCATGCATGTGTGAGGATAGATAAGCCGCTTCTAAACATTTGGCGTGCAGAAGGGGAGTTATACCGTTGCCATTCTAGACGTATTCGGCAGTCGGCAAGGAAGAGCGGTTTTATTTGAGCCCGTTTTGTGTATACGGTCTTTTTATACCCTTGCAGAGGGTATTAAAATTTTGGTCAAAAGTGTGCAACGCAGTGAAGGAGACATCTCCGACCCTATAAAGTATATATATTCTTGATCAGGATCACCTCCTGAGTTGATATGAGCATGTCCGTCTGTCCGTCTGTCTGTCTGTTTCTACGCGAAGTAGTCTCTCAGTTTTAAAGCTATCGACTTGAAACTTTGCACACACCCTTCTTTCCTTTGCACGCAGTATATAAGTCGGAATGGCCCGGATCGGCCGACTATATCCTATAGCTGCCATATAACTGATTGATCGGAAATGGTATAACTTCAGTGTTTTTAGAGTTAGAGAGTTTAAATTTTACACGAGCACTATTTTTGGCAAAATAATACGACATGCCAAATTTCGTAAGGATCGGCCGACTATATCCTATAGCTGTCATATAACTGAACGATCGGAAATAACCCAACTTTCGTGTTTTTGAAGATAGAAAGCTGGAACTTGGTACAGATTATATTCTTGGTCAGTTAATCCGACCTACCAAATTTCATAACGATCGGCCGACTATATTTTATAGCTGCCATATCACTGAACGATCGGAAATGGGTTTTGGTAGAAATACCAACTTTGGTACTTTTGAAGATAGAAGTTTGGGACTTTTTTTTAGATTTTGTATTGTAATAAATTGGATTATTTTTTCATATTCCCATAAGGATCGGCCAACTATATCCGATGTTTGCGATATATATCCGTTTTCAACTGCAAGGGTATATAAACTTCGGCTCCGCCCGAAGTTAGCTTTCCTTTCTTGTTTTTTTTTTTTTTTTTTTATACCGGTTTTTCAGAATTTGGAAATGGCTTGTGCATCAATAAGAGCATCAGCTAGCATTCCTGTATTAATCATAAAGCTTAGAGGCCCAGACGACCGAGGGGCGCTCAAGAAACGATTTGTTAGAATATATATAGCTATTTTTAATTTATTAAACTAGGAGGAGTTACTAAGGAAATTTAAAATTCTATATTTTAAATTTGAAGGCAGGAACGAGACCAATGTAGTTCAAACATAAGATCCTAAAAGGGTCGTGCTGTGCATATGTCGAACTACAAAGGGTAAGGAATAGAGGACTAAAGTTTCTAGTCCTTCTATTAGGAATGATAAAATTTAGGCATGTTAGTAAATGCTGGCTATCTACATCCCCATCGATTAGGTTATGTAGTAAAACTACCCCGAGCACTGTCTTACTATATGTTTATCTTGCTAAGTTTATTATTAGGAGTCTGCTACTATAAGATGAAAGATGACAATTTGCATCCCAGTTAAGACCTTTAAGTGAAAAAGTTAAGAAATACTTTCGTACGGATTCTATGCGGTCCTGATGTACTCCATATTGGGGACTCCAGACACATGAACCGTACTCTAGTATAGGACGGACCAAAGAAATGAATAGTGTTTTGGTTATATAGGGGTCATTAAATTCTTTTGACCACCTTTTGATAAAACCAAGGACTCCTTTAGCCTTATTAACCATTAAGGAAATATGGTCGGCAAATTTAAGTTTGATGTCTAATAGGATGCCGAGATCATTAACCTGGGTTAATTTTTCTAAGGCAATCCCATTAATAGAATAAGTAGCTTGCAGAGGGCAAGAACGATAAAAAGACATATGTTTGCATTTAGATCCATTAAGTATTAGATCATTAGCTAAACACCATTTTTGAAAGTTATCAAGGTCAGACTGAAGACTGCATTGGGCAGAGATGGATTTGTACTGAAGACAAAGCTTTACATCATCTGCATACATAAGAACTAGAGAGTTCGTTAAAGCAGGGGGCAAGTCATTTATAAAAATCGTAAATAATAACGGGCCAAGATGACTTCCTTGAGGGACGCCGGATGTAGCACGGACCAGACGGGACTGAATGTTTTTAAATAAAACTCTTTGTGTCCTTCCATCTAGGCAGCTGGAGATCCACGTTAAGAGGTCTTTGGGAAAACCCAGCATATTCAGTTTACTCAACAAGAGTGAGTGATTAACTGAATCAAATGCTTTGCTGAAGTCTGAGTAAATTACATCGGTTTGATATCCCTTACAAAAGCCATCTATGACAAAGGATGTCAACTCCAATAAGTTTGTGGTGGTGGAGCGACGCTTAATAAAGCCATGCTGACAAGGAGTGATGATCGAAGAGCAAAGGTGTTGCAAATGAGGGGTAATTAATTTTTCAAATAACTTTGGAATTGCCGACAACTTAGAGATGCCTCTGTAGTTGGCAGCCTCGGACTTTTTCCCCTTTTTATGTAGGGGAATTATAAATGATTCCTTCCACTTAAGGGAAAAAATCGAGGTTTCCAAAGATAAGTTGAAAAGTCTTAGAAGAGGTTTGCACAGAGCCGTGGCACAATATTTTAGCACACAGCCTGGTACTCCATCGGGGCCTGGCAAATAAATCGGTTTGACCCTTAGAAGATTAGATAATAAGTTGTTCTCAGAAAAAATCGGACAGAAAATAAGATTTGCTGCTTGAATGTTATATGCGTTAGGCTGATTTGTCAATTTAGGCGGAGAATAAGTTGTTTGAAAAAATTCTGCGAATAGATCGGCAATGGCCTGATCAGAGGTCGCAGAGGCATTTTCAAACGTAAGCAGGGGTGAAAAAGATACGTGTTTACGCTTAGTGTTTACAAAATTGTAAAACTGCTTTGGATCCTGAGTAAATTGTATCCGGCAGGGGTCAATATAATTCCTATAACATTCAGCGTAATGCACGGTAAAATTAGACCGAGCTAGTAGATATCTTGAAAAATCAATATACTGTAGGTTTTTTTTATATTTAAGTAAAAGCTTATTTTTTATATTTTTTAGGTTAGTGAGGCACCTTGTAAACCAAGGAACCAACAACAAAACCATTTGTTGAAGCGGACGGATATTTCCATGGCACACATGAGTCAAAAAATGTATTTAAAGTACAATAAAATTTACTTAAAGTGACGTTAAGATCAGTGCATGCCAGAATATCGGACCGGTCATATGTATCAATAAGGCTATTAAGTTTGTGAAAATCTGCTTTACGGAAACAGCGAATCTTATTTACCACGCGTGAAGACATCTGATCGATACGAGGAGTGGTTTCGATTGAGACCTCCAGCGAGGAGTGATATGGATCCTCTGGGGTTGAAAGGGGAAAAGCTCTGGAGAGAGCGGTACCATCAGGATCAGATACAAAACATAAGTCTAAAAGCCGACCTAACGAATTTCTAACATGGTTAATCTGACCTAGGGACATGTCAAACATGCCCGCGGTGAAGTCATGGTGAGTGTAAGTGACAAAGATGGTGAGACTTTAATTCTGGGATATTAAAGTCGCCCACCGCTACGAGTCGGTCACGATCCGTCATAAGATTAAAGACGTATCGAATAG